ATCTTTCTTTAGCAAAAGATGGAAAGTACAGATTACATCCAATTAGCTTATGGTCTGTTAAACTTAGGGGTAAATATTTTTCCTATTACCTTTTCTTCTAGACTTCACAACAACAACATAAAATTTTAACAAGCAGTGCAAAATATTTTCTTTATGGCATGGAAAATGTTCAGACTTGACATATTCATGTGTAGTTTTGTGCTGGACTTTGTGTCCAGCAGTGGTAGCAGAGAGTTCCTGTGTTCCATGACATCTGAGAATGCGCGGAAAGAAAAATGAACAGGAAAACTCCCTCTGTTGGGGGGGTGGGGAGGGGGAGAAGAAAGTATTTGTTACATTCCAAAATCAGTCATAATAATGGAAGTTCACATCAAATAATTGCTAGAGTCAGAATGGGCAAACATCTGGTTATTCATCCCTAGCTATACTAACAAAAATACAATATCCTGTTCGAGAAATCACTGATCATCCTGGTTTATTTTGGCGTTAGCACACCTTGGTATTTTTCACTTAAAAAAGAACATATCAGTATTTCATAGCTAGCATATCTCCTGCTCCAGGTTCACAGTTCATGTGCTTCTGTGACTTTGAGCTCTTCCTTTCCTGAGTTTACCAGCAGACAGCTGCACTAGAACAGATATGTTTACATGTGGGGAGTAAATGGCAACTTGCAGCTCAGAGTTTCCATTTCCTTTTACATTGTTCAGGAATCCAGGCTCACAACTCGTCCTCAACTTTGCCTCATATGTGTGCATCTGACTTGGCCCTTTATAGTACAAATGCTTTATTTTGACATTGATTTCTTGATACAAAGGGCTGACTAGGGAAAAGATACTTTCACTAGAAATTACCCTCAATAAGCATCAAGTTCAATTGTGGGTGAAATAGCTTTTTGAAAAATATTCCAAACATCACTTTCTGTAAGGCTTTTAAGCACTATATCAATGTAAGAGTAATGTGGAACCACTTTATGCAGCTTTATGAAGATAGATGTATTTTTAGATGGAGAAAAATTAGATTTTGTATGAAGAATGATGGTGAAGTTTGATTAGCTGCTTAACACATGACACTGTCTATTTAAGCTAATGTCACATGTAGGTGATTCCCAGATGTCCTTGATAAAGCAGTAATTACATAAAGGAGGTTGTGATAATTATAAACAAGAAACAAAACCGTGAGAGTGATTTGTTCATTTGCCTGAACCCTGAAATAGAATTAAAGACTCCAGTGAAGAGAGTTTGTTCTGACTTTGCACCACCCAACAGACTTCTCTCTATTGCCCAATTTCACCCCTATGGGCTTCTCCTTCCCCATTTTCCACTTAACTAATTTTGATCTTTTGGGTTATTGCTCTGAAAGAAAACTATGGTTTACTGATGATTTTGGTAGCAAGAGTGGGTGAAGTGAATGTCACATAAATGATCTCTAGAAAGACCTGTAGCAATTGTGTGTTGTGTTTTGCCTGCTGGCTTTTTGACCTAAGATCCGCAGTTACCCAGATATGTAAGAATGAGCTGCTTTTGGTCACACTCATGGATATTTTATGAGAATAAATTATTTGACCTTATTTGACCATTTTGATGCAGTTTATTCTGATATATATGTAAATTAATTGCTAGGTTTGACCTATAGCCCACTCTTAACAGTAATGCAATGGTAGTGCTGATACTTTGATTCGCTTTGATTTCCAGGCCACAAACACAGTTCCTGTGTTCCTAACAGCGCTGCTGATACATGATATTTTAATTTTTAATTCTCATTCCAATGTTCTTTATGATGCTTAGGCTCTAAAACTCAAGCACAAAATCAAAGAACAGGTTGCACTTTAAGTTTTGCACTTTACATGACGACACAGTGAGATTCCAGAGAACTGTACTGACTGAAAGTTGCACCCAGAAGATAATCTTTTAGCACTTGTCCAGCTCATCGTTGAGTCTGGTCAGTGCAAGGATGGGATTCAGAAGGCAAAACAAGGCCTGGGACTGTAATAACACTGATCTAGTATATGTTTGCCACAGAGTTGTGTTCTCAGCCTGGAAGTGCAAATTCCTGTGTGTTTTCTGTGAGCTTGCTGAAGGCAAATCATTTACCTCTTTACTTTCATTAAAACTGCATTGGAACTGTGTTTGTGGCCTGGAAATCAAAGCAAGCAATTAACACCATGCTGGTACCTATTGCAAACCCCCTACCTGGTTTCAGGTCAGCAGCCTGGGTAGCTGTGATTCATGGAGCTGGGAAATGGTCGCTGGGCAGGGCATGGGATAAACAGGCATCTGGGAAGGGGGAAACTGAAACTGGGCAAAAATGTATAGGCAGTAGCAGTGCTTGTGTCATAAACTTTTCTTCAGCTGAAGTACAGCAAGCCACAGCTACTAAAGTAGATGTTTGTTGCCCAAAATTTATGTGAGTTCACCTGTAATTCTCTTCTGTTGACAAACTAGGTATGAGAAATTATTGTCAAAATAAATGTACCTGCGTACTACTTTAATTTTCTGTTGTTGCATGTAAAGTGATTAGCTCACCACGTACTACTTTCAATTTCTGTTGTTACATTTAAAGTGATTAGCTGGTTTATCTCATGATCATTAAGTGTAGAGTAGTTTGAAACTTCCCATTCCTAGTCTGTGTTTTTCATTGACGCTTTCATTTGAAAGCAGGAAACAATCCGAAAGTAATTCTATTAAGTGTTTCAGCACAAAGATTTTAAAATATAATAGCTTGGCATGTTATTCTGTCTTCTTAATATTCCTTGGAGGAAATAAAATGGAGTTGCAACTTTCATCCAGGCAGCTTTTCTACTACATCCTGTTTCCTTCCGCACTCTGGAGAAAGCACTGACGTCTGTCTCCCTTCCTCCACTTCCAATGAAAAAATCCCAGTCTCCATGTTGTAGCACTCATTCTGGTGAACTCTGACACAATATTTGGGTTCTTTAGGCAAAAGTGAATTTTATCCTCTGTATCAAAGGGAATATTGCAAAGAATATGGAATGTGCACAGCCCTGGCTGCCTGGACTGCCCAAAGGGTGACTTGCTGTGCGAGCAATTGCTGCGGAAGGCTGACATCTCTGCTTTTCTCCCACTGAAAGTCAGACTTGCAGTCCCCCCTTTCTCAGAGGGAAGCTGACCCTTGAAAAGGCTTGGCATGAAATAGATTAACTCCCTGGAAATTTTGTTTGGAAATGTTAGGAGACTGCTATGTATATGTGCTGGCAATCTCTGTAAGAGACAAATTATTTTCCCACCCTCTCAAGCACTTGGTAGTTTATCTGTTGTTTATATTAAAGATTGATCGTGGCTATATATTCCTAATTCAGGGTTCCCATTAATCACCCTATGCCACATAAGAGACTGGAGAAGAAGGATGAGGGTTACTGCAAAGCAGAAATATGATCCCTGGCTCTGCTTTTAATGGGACTTATCCTGGCATTAGCTTTGCTCCTATGAATTACTGCATTTGTGTAAACATCTTTTTTTTTTTTTCCCCATGTTTGGTGTGTCTGTTTTTCTCAGGGCTATTTAGAAAAAGATGATATAGTTATTACAGTGATTGAGGAGAATGTTAATCATGACACTTGCCATGTTACTATTTCAAGAGGTCCCTGCTCCCCCCCAGCAGGCCCTCCCCCTTGTTTGCTACTACTTGCTTCCTCTCCCAGCCCCAGCAGCCATTTCCTCCCTAGAGCAGATCCAGGCAATTGTTTCAGCCTGTGCAAACTGAAGAAGAGGTGGAACAGGACCAGTGGGGTTAGGACAAAGGCTGGGACTTCCTAAAGTGCATCGGCTGCCAACAGTGTGATGCATTCTGCCACAGCAACAGAGCAGGTCTGTATGTCCTCCTCCTTGACCCTGCTGAAGGTTGCCAATTTTGAATGTTCAGTCACCATTTGTGGTCCCTTCCCCTCCTCACTGTGAGAGTAAAACTGCTGTCAAGAGGGAAAGAGAAGGGAATTTATGAGTTTTTGCAAGTTGATTTGGGCTATGAGAACATATTACCAGCCCTGCATGGAGTCAGGTCCAGAAGCCTCTGGAGCAAGCTGTTTTCCTGCCCTGACTTGTCTGCCTGAAAGTCCCTTCACATCTTTAAGAAGTGTGCACTGAGCCCAGCTCTTAATTGTGTTCTGGTGGGAAATCGTTGCATCAGTAAATTTTCAGCCAACAGGAGATCTAATCCCTAATTTTTTTTATTTGCTCTGTGCTTGTCTTTGTCTAATATAAAGAAATTACTTGGATTTTAAAAGAAGCAATCAAAATAATTTCTATTTGACAAATCAGAACAAATTCACTCTCAAGAGACTGTCCTTCAATACAGATTATCTTCTCTTTATTTGTGGGTCCACTAAACATACTTTGCCAAGTGTATCCTAATTCTGCACAGATTTTTCTCTTGAGTCATGTTACATTCATGTCTGACTTCTTCGGTGCAAAATCCCATTATCAAATTAGTTATTTAACATCATATCATATTCAACACTGACATGTGGCTGTAACTGCTGGTTTGTGTTTATAACTAAACATCCTCTCAATAAAAGCAAGAGTTCACCAGAAGTTCTGCAAACCTAGGAGAATTCAGGTCCATTAATGGTGATGAAGGCACATCTTTAGTGAAATCGAAGGAGGAGGAGTAATATAGGAAAGTCTTATATCTGACAATTTGGAATCATTTTACACATAATTGCACCAAAACAGTGATTTTAGAGGACTATGTATTTTTTTAAGTACTTTGATTCAAACTAATTTAGATTGCTTGGTTTTCCCCCTCATGGAACTACCTTTGATGGCATATTGTAGATATAAGAATAAGAGAATTTATTTCTGAGTTGAGAATTGGTTTTTAATCAGACTCAGTAATGTAAATAGACCTCTATTTAAAAGTTCATTCAAAACTGAGTACTGGTGTGTATTTAAGTGCACTGTATGCTGAAGTAGAAATATCCCCCAGTGTTTAACCAAAAGCATGTTTAATGTGTGGTTTTGTTTTGTTTTTTTAATGTTTAACAGTAACTGAAGCTGGCTTTGGTGCTGACATTGGGATGGAGAAATTCTTCAACATCAAATGCAGAGCGTCTGGCTTGGTTCCCAGTGTGGTTGTACTTGTTGCTACAGTGAGGGCTTTGAAGATGCATGGAGGTGGGCCAAATGTAAGTTTTTGCGCCTTTCTTTCTTGGAAAAATCAAATTGTTGCTAATATTTGAAATAAGTAAAATACCTTGATTTAAGAAATATTTGGGGTAGTCTATTGGGCGGTATTTAGATAACCCTTCTGATATTCTTCATTGTATAGATGTTATCACTAAAGTTAATGCTGTGTTTAAAATTAAGCCACAAATGAAAGATGAGGGACAAAAGAGCTCTGAAGAAGTACTGTATCTTGCAGAGGAATGGAAAGTTGTACATTAAAAAAAAAGCAGTAAGAGATAGATATTCTTTTCCCTGCCTTTTGAAACAGCATTTGTAAGTGCACTGAAGTCGTCACAGGCTGGGAAATTTGACAGCCGAGGAGGAATGAGACAAGTTCAAGTTGCAGTATGTGAGTGGAAGTAGAGAACATTGTTAGTCAAGGTTTTGACATTTCTTTCATTTCAGTAATGGGTACTCCTTATGTCCTTTTATTTTGCTCAGATTAATTCCCTCAGGGATGCTGAGGTAACTGATGAAATTTTGCAAGTGTTTTCTGGGTGTACCAAGAGTCACCAGTGTATAATTTTTTGCTGTCTTAAGCCACAAAGAGATTTTAAAGATTACTGTTTGTAGAAATGCTCCCCGAATGTGCAGTCCCATCAGACTGTGCTAGCCAAGCAGAGACACTTAACTCCTAGGAGCACTTTCATCTGCCCAGCAGCATGCTGGAGAGTGATGCTGCCAGGGAAACAGTCACACTGGGGGAAAATACCAGAGCTGTTTCCACAGCCACAACATTTTAGAAGGCATGGTTTCCCTTACAGCTAGTCTTCTCTAAAAGTTAAAGCTGAGCTACTCTTTTCAGTCTTTCAAGTTGATGTAATGATATAATTTTCTATCATTTTAGTATCATTTCTGATGCATGTTTTCTTTATTTTGAATTATATTTCTCCATCTCTATCAAAGCAAGTATAATTTCACATGTGTTATCACTCAATCTAGCAAAAATAGGACTTAAATATGTCTTAATAACTGTCTCTGTTTCTGTCTCCCTTGTGTCCTTAGAAGTTTAAAGGTTTCATTTGTTTACAAATGTGATGCATTCATCACTGAGGCATGTAGAGTACCTGATACTTTTACTGGGAGGTTAACTATAAAAAGGACTAATGATAGAGACAAAAGTAAGTCTGGTGCCTGGGACTGACATTATGTGCCCCTTGGAGACTCAGCACAGTGTCCCAGTACCCCTGTGATGCACTTTGCATGTCTACCTTTGTGCTTTCCAACCAATTACTTGCATGCAGTTCCTTGCCATGGGCAGTAATTAAAGAACATCAAAGATGATGTTCTTCTGTGTTGCTGTTATTTCTTCAGCTGCTGGAAATTGCTGCCTATTGTCTTTGCACTGCTGGTGTGCTGTAACAACATGCAGAATGAGATCCAGCTGCCTCCCCTCGTAGTCTTTTGCAGCTAATTGCTGAGGCACTACCTGTGTCCTGCTTCCCAAATACAATAGGAGGTGTTGCTATTGTTTGTGTGCAACTGGGAGTAAAACACAAGCTGCAGTCAGGCTGTGATGCTGTGAGCACTGGTATGGGTTAACTGGCAGTACAGAAAGGCAGCAAAATTGCACTTCAGACCCTTTAGGGTTATGGCAAGTATCAATCTGTGATGACTTTGCTTGTTTATTATTACCTGATCCCAGGTAACTGCTGGTGCCCCCTTGAAGAAAGAATACACAGAAGAGGTAAGAGGAACTGTTATAAAACTTCAAAGAGGGTTTTGTGTAAAGAAACAAAATAATGTGGTGTACAGAGAATCAGAACTTTTCCTTGCTCTGGCTGGACAGTGTGCAGCCTCAGGTTTGACAATAGCCTGCTCTAAAGCTGACATTCAGTGAACATCTCTAATGGGCATTGCCAACAACTGAAACCACCTCATCCTCCCTCATCCCCTTTGTGTTACCCCTCTTAGGTGTATGGTGTGAGTGACTGTGTGATGGATTGTAATAACTAACTGAAAAATAATCTTTTTTTAATAGTTTTTCCAGGGCCACTAAGTTTTCAGACTGATCAATGTACAGGCATTTATGGAAGCACAAGAGCAGCAGGGTGTAGGGCTCAAGGACACTCCCAGAAATTAATGATAGCATAAACTGTTCATTATAAAACAAGGTTTATATGTTTATGCTTCACATTTGGGGTGGGATGTCACTCTTCAAACAAAGAGTGAATTCTGCTGGTTTGTTTTCTTTGTCACTTCACTCCAGACAAGTTCTGGTTTCTGCTTGTGTGAAGCTAAGGATATGTGCTTTGTTACAACTGAGACAAGGCCTACAAAGTGCGAGGTAAAAGAGTAAATAAGGAAATCTAGCAATGTGCTTGGGGTAGTCTATGTGTGTGCATACATGAACTCTGCACCTGACACATCTGTATATCCAACCCCACCCCGCTACTGCAGCCTGTTTGTAAACTTTGCAAACAGCAAAATCCCTTTCACAATAATGACAAGCAGCCACTCATCAGCTGCACCATCTTCCTGTGTCTCAGAAGAGAGCAATGGGTTCATGTACAAATTTTGGACACTGCTTAGTTACTTAAATATGTCTGATGCTTATTAATTGGAATGAGAATTAATAAGTGCCAGAATACTTTTGTCTGGAAGAATTTCACTTGCCTGCAACATAAACAATGCTGATCATTGTTTATGTTCACTTAAATTTATGGAAATTTCTTTGGCTGGAGAAGACTTTATGTATCTTACCATTTCCATTAATTTTCATTTAATTGCACAGAACCTCCAGCTGGTAGCTGATGGCTGCTGTAATCTACAGAAACAGATTCAAATTACTCAGCTCTTTGGAGTTCCTGTTGTGGTTGCTCTGAACGTCTTCAAGTAAGTCTGTTCTTTCATTACTCTTGTTCAAATTCCTCACTTTTCATGGTTTTTAAATTATTCAATTTGGCATGAACAAAGACGCTATTAAAGAATTTCCTTTTTTCATCATGAATATAACGATATTTAAGTTTTTAGCTTGTTCCTAATGTTATATACCAAAAAAGTATATACTATTACAGAGCTGATAATCTTCCATGTTAATTAGCTATAACAATTACAAAATTTTCTTGAAACATGTAAATGCATATGCTGTACATAAATGCATTATGCATGTGGCACAATTTCTATATATACATCTACTTTACCACTGCTGGTGGTAAAATAAGGCTAAGTTTGTAAGGTTGTAACAGAGAACTAATTAAACAAGCTAATGAGACAGGACTGTTTGATTGGCAGAACTGACTCTCCAGCTGAGATTGATCTGGTGTGTAAGATTGCAAAGGAGTCTGGAGCATTTGATGCTGTACCCTGCCATCACTGGTCGGCTGGTGGTAAAGGAGCAGTAAAATTAGCTCAAGCTGTGGAAAAGGCAGCCAATCAAAAAAACAGTTTCAAATATCTCTACAGCTTGGAGGTAAGCTTTCTTTCTTTTCTTTTTTTTTAAATGAATGCATTCTGCATCAGAGTTGGATTTAAACAAGAAGGACATTGAGAACATTGAAACAAAGTTATCCAAAATACTTGGAAAGAAACTTGCTTTGGTTTAAAATCATAAAAGCTGGAGAGAACAAGCAATCTGTGGCTTGTCTAATCAGGGAGCAGGATACTTACTAGTAATGATTGTTACTTAGTGCATTGAATGACACTGATCTGATACTTTCATGTATCATATTTTAACATAAAGGTATGTATGTTTAACATAAAGGTTTAACATAAAGGTATGTTTAACATAAAGGTATGTATGCAGATGGAACGCTCACTGATTAATTTGGGAGACTTCTCCAAAGATGCCACAGTGATGGTATTTGTCCTGTTGGTCAGATAACAGGAGATGTAGTTGCTGTCCCACAGTCACAGGTATTGCATCAGGTTGTGGCTTTCTGAAGCATTCACTGTCTGCATGAGAAGGATGTGACAGGGAGCACATCCATGCTCATCCCACACATCTGCCCAGGTCAGCACAGAGAAGAGGCACTGCCCTTACCTGCCCTTTCTGCACAGCCAGCTCTCAGGTGCACACAGAGCCCAGGTGACCCAGTCCTGTTCCTTCTCTCCCATGATCAGATTGGAGTCTGCCAGTGCAATATGGTGCACACAACACACGGGTCGCTGCTGCTGCTGGCCCCAGGCCCTCAGTCTATGCAGGAGCAGCCCCCAGGGCTTCTGTCCTGCTCCAGCTGATGGCACCAGAATCCACAAGCCCCTGAGGACTGCAGCTCACTACAGCTGCTGGGCACAGCCCTTTCCTCGCACTCTCTGTCCTCATAGTGCAGAGCAGAGAGCACACCCACACAAAAGGCAGTCAGAAACCAGATTTAATGTTAATAGAGAGGTCCTCAAGCACACAGCTCAGTTAGTCAGACTACTGACCAGACACCTTTACACACAACTGACCCCTTCTTCCTCTATTCTCTCATGTTCTTTCCACGCTTACACCTTTTCAATCCACCTTGATTGCTCCCTTTTCCCATCTTTGCTCCTTCCACTAAACAATCTTTAGACATTCCCACTATCCTCTTTGAAAATTGCATCATAAGGTTCACACAGTCCCAAAATCTGCTTTTTCATACATCCTATAGAGTCCTATGCTGCTGTACACAATTACTTCCTTTCATTTGCAAAGGTTTTTGATCAGAGAGGTTCCCTATTGACCCATCTTGGTGCATTTCACACCAAGGACAATGGTCTCATCCTCCCCTTGGGTTGGCATAGGAAACAGGCTCAGGGTGCTCTGATTTTCACTGATTAGGTTTTTCCAGTGATTACGTTACAGAGGGTTCCTCCACCTATCATTGTTGCTCTGATCCTTGCTGGGGCTTCAGGGCTAATTTGCTTAGCCCTTAGATAACCTAACAAAGGACAGTGTGGTCCAAGTTTCAGTCCTATGGCTGCCAGAGTTAGAGACTCTTTTTCCATGCCTTGGAGACTGTTATTGCAGTTGTCTGCAAGGTAACATCCCAGCATTGTGAGCTGTCAAGGGGAGCTTGGACCCCTGGCAGCACTGGAGGTGCTGGGGTACCCTGTGCTGGCAGAGCATTTGGATGCACATATTGCCAAGGAGGTTATACAAATGATTCCCAGGGCCTTCCTGGCTATCCAAATGTGGGTGGGTTTAAATCTGAGCAGCCAAACAGACTTCTCTGGCTCCAAGGAAGCCCTTGTCAAGTTTCAGATCCTGTGCCCATGCTACTTAAGTTTCTTTAGAAAATGTTCAAATGCTATTTTTTTACAACAGAACCTTAGCTTCATTCTTTTAAATGGCTGGAAGTTCCTGTTTTGATTCTTCTCTCCAGAAAAAAGTTCAGCCTGAGGTAGATATGCCCTATGGTCATCTTAAGTTCTCTCTTCTCCTTGATATGCACCCTGTATCTGTTGCACCCATTCTGTTTTTTCTTTCCACCTCCTCTGCTGTTTCACAAAGTGTCAGTAATCCAGCCAACCCATATCAGTATTAACCCCTGCCCTGACAGAATAGATGGAAATGAGTTGGATGGAATATTTTGTGCATAATAATAAAAGGTGGAATATTTGTGCTGCAGTATGTATTCAAGGCGTTTTGCCCATGCAGCAGTTTTACAGCTGAAAAATGGAGAATGTATATGCCTTTCTAAGTTTGTCTCTACTGAGATGCTCTGAAAACTGAGGCTGTCATCTAATGGGGCTTGTGTAATAAAATGGGGAAAAAATTCTTTGAGAAATACATGCTACAGTTTTCCTCACTGGACACTTGTGTTAGAGGGATCGTGCATTAACCTTTGCCAAGGCTCATACCAAAGCCCTGGTGTTACTATCCACTGTGTAGCTTACAATCTGGTGGTACAAGTGAGTAAAAAGGATTGGTAGGGGTGGACTCTGCCTATAAAGAAAATCAGATTGATTTTCACTGTAATGTCTTTCCCAGACACGTCGTTTTGTGCTGTGTTGCATAAGCAGCATGAGCACAAAGGGAATGAATCACGTCTTTAAATCAACTTAGTATCCTGTAACTTCACACAAGTACTCTAAGCCTCAAAAATACATTGAAGGGATTTTATAAAAACATATAAAGATTTTTAAATACTGTAAAATAGTACATTCAGGCCAACAAAAACAGTGAAGTGTAAAGTTCAGGCTTCTGTTTCATCCTTAGTGTGCAAAGGATGGGGACTGAAGCAGCTGGAAGTAGGAGAGTGAAACAGCAATGCTGCCACTTTTACAGTATGTAGGTCAATTGGTTACTAGGCTCACAGAGAAGTGAAGGAAAGCCACCTCTTCCAAATAAGCCTGCCCTGATTTTTTTTTTTTTTTTGGTTGTTGTAGCAAATTTGAGGTGTGGTTTCTGCTGTGCAAAGGGGTAAAATTAAGAAATTTAAGGAAGATAGGAAGCAGTAAAATAGGATTCAGACAGATTATTTCCCCCCTCATTGTGCCTAAAGGGAGTGTAAGTGAAAGGACATAGTTCCATCCCTTATCTGATTGTCAGACTTGTCCAGTTACTTGAATAATATTAAGTCCTGATTGCCTCAAGTTCCACAGGATTTAATGTGGTTGTGGGGTTTTTTCTGTTTTCTTTCCCTTTTGGAAGGTCAAAGAGGGGAAATACTCTGCTTAAAACCACTACCACTTCATTCATATATCTGTCTGTCTTCATGAGAGTGCTCTACTGTTCCCTTTACTCCACATCTCCATTCCATCCTGTCATGTCTATGCATCTTGTTTTTCTGTTGGAAAACTTAATCAGAATTTGCTTCCAGAACTAGTTATAATTAGAAAAATTTCCAACAGCACAGACCACTGTAGCTGTACCAGGTTCATTCAATATTCTGATCTTTTGTTAGAAAGCAACACTCAGGGTATTTAAAAAAAAGCTTCAAACCCTTATATGTAAAACTGATTTATAACCTTTCTAGTCTGAACAAACTTTGCAGTAAACTATCTTATTAGTGTGCAGTCAGACATGTACTTAGAGGATAGCCCATGTCAAGTGGGCTCTCTTTGTTTCATTTTTTTTCCAAATGCATTCATCTCTCTAGTACTTTATGTAATTTCCAAATATGTCTTTGAAAACAAAAGCTTCTTTGAAGGATGTTTACAAATACATGTTTACAATATGTATAGTGTGAGAAGAAAGAAGACTAGAAGTATAGACTAGCAGAAAGTATTTTCTAGATCTGTCAAATGCTGGGAGTTAAAAGTTGAGAATCAGATTTTTTTTCTGAAGTATCTTTATACGTTTATACCATCTTGTCCAGTGAAACCTGAGCATGTGCCAAATGAACAATTTCAGACATTGGACACGGCACAGTTGTGTGAGTTCAGGATTCAGGCTCTGCTCCTGTTCAGTATCATAGCAAGCCAGTCTAATTAGAAGACTGTGCTCATTTTATTCCTTGAGGCATCTAATTTGGTCTCTTTACATTTCCTTGGGTGTCATTCCATGACATACCCTTCTATACTCCCTCTTTTAGATGGCTTTTTGGGTTCTCTGTATTTGTTTCTCTAAGCAGGTAATATTTTTTTCCTAGTGGCTGCTACTTGTAGTTTGACAATTTTTTAGTCTTGATTATAGCAAGGATTTGTTTGACATTTGGTGTGAGATGAACAAATATTTTTGGGGGTTTCAAATGAGAACAGAATATCTTACATGTGGTTTGGGGAGTGCCTATGTGTGGCAGTCATTTCATGGATCAAATACAAGACATGACCTGTGACAAGTAAATCCTGCACCATCTCCACTGTAAAAGTGTAAGAAAAGGACAGAAACAGAGTACCCTGGAATGCTTACAGTGTCAGGAATTGCACAGGTCGGGGGGGATTGGTTCAGGAGCAACAAGGAGTTTTCATATCATAGACTTCAGAGTTTATAACATAGGTTAAAATATTATTGGCAGTAATTGAAGTAAATACTACAGTATTGGGTGGTTTTAGTATGGATTTTTTGCCCCCTCTGCACAATAATCTCTATTAAGTTACCGTTGAGTTGGTTTCTTGCAGTGTGTTTCTCTTCAGTGTTTGAAGAATGGGTTTGTTTAAAAGGCCTCCTGAACTCTTTGTGAAATCATCTGTGGCGGTTTATTTTAATATATATTCTTGCTACATATGGAAAATATCAAAATATCAATCCTCTTATCACTGTTGACTTCCCTTCTGGGCTCAGTTTTCTTGAAGTATGGGTCTTTAAGTTGCAGCAGAAAGCTATTACTCAAAATAAAGTTGACTGAACCATTAAAAGTGAGTTTAGATAAGTAGGGGGAGGAAAGGAGAGGATGGAAATGCATCCCGTTCCCAAATTTCTCTGGCTCCAGTGCCTGTTCTTGATCAGGAGAAGGGGGAAGCTGTGTTCCTCACTAATGCACGCCTGCTGAGTGACCTGCCTTCTCTCTCCTGGCTCCTCTCTTCTGCTGGGGTGAGCTCTCCCTTGCCTTAGAGCAGCCC